CCGCTTAGTGGGAAAGAGACAGAGGTTTGTGGGAAAGATAGGGAGGTGAGTGAAATTGGCGTGGCAACTTTCGCTGAGCTCGTTTCGGTTACGTCAGAGCCGCCGGCGCATTGCGTAACGTGCTGTGAAGATTACGACTATTTTGTATGACACTGATTTGAGTGATGGCTGAAAGCGATCTATTGGCCTTTCCAGTGTTTTTACTGTTGTAATCGTGGCGTAATTTCATTTGTTTAAAATATCATCCATGCTTGCAACTACTTGTATAAAGTCATTTTAATAAAGTATAGAAGGAAAAGGACTAAAATATTGCAATTTTGCATAATGTATTGATAGTTAACCCGGGCTACCTTCAGTTTTAAAATTTAAATTTTCGGTCGATTTAAGCATAGTACGATTACAGTACCCTCAAATTACCCCATATCATTTCATAGGTGTCGTAAGCAGCGACAGAGGAAAATAGAATTCAACCAACGAAGTTGAAAACACCAGATAATAAAAAGCTACTGTTGCCAACCCGTCTTACGTTTGCCAAACGTGACAACTATGGCACATATCTCTCCCTTATCAGGCAATCTTTGGAGAGATTTATCTTCAGCAGTGGACTTTGATAGGCTATAATGAAAGAATGAAAGAAAAAGAAATACTACGATTATTTATTGTAATGAATTTTACCGTAATCGTAATTTAAAAAAACACAACCAGTATTGTTAACGTTTCCTACACTATGTTTAAAACTTCCTATTTTTCTCGTTACAGTGCTTTTATAGCACAGTACAAGTACAGTGTACTTTTATAGTAGTCATTAAATATTTACAATTGATAGTTAAAATTGCATCCTTAAACAAGTAATTATATCTTGTCTAAAAGCAGGGTCAGACGGTAAATTATTACTAAACATGATTACACAAGCACTTTCGACAATATTAGTGTGTTGTGCTTCTTTACAAAATCGGATAATCACATTTTGATGATCAGTTATTAAGTTGTTACAGTTTGGAAAATTATAGGATTCTTTGTTAGGTATTAGACAGGCTAAAATTCGGTTTTTTATATTTACCGTGCTCAGCTAAATGTTTTTTTTTTTATCTTAACACAAGTCTTTCATATATTTTAATTTTAATTTGTTACTTGGGACATTGCTTTGCTATTATTTTTGGCCTTATTTTGATTCTTTTTCGAATGAATACTATTGTTTTTTCTCCAGTTACATTTACCTAAAACATGGCTTAGTTAAGTCTTATTGAGAAGGTATCATAGAGTCCCTCAATAGCATTACATATAGAGTCATAAAAAACTGAATTAAACCAATCACAATTTTAGCATTCATGAAGATCAATACCAATAAAAAACTTAGTTTATCGCAATTTCGTGATCGAATTTGAAAAACGGCTTAATCTCAAAGAAATTCACACAACTACGGAAATATGTAATTGGAAACTACAGTAATTTTTCGAAATATGTAATTGGAAATGAAACATTCCCTGTACGCTTTCAGTACAAAGGACACAAATGTGACTCAAGAGCAATTTTGCAATCATTTTATCCAACAACCAGCTGTAGTTAATACTTAAAGAAACACTGGTCTCCAAATTAAATTCTGCTAAAGTGGTCTTTCTAGCTATAACTACGCCGTTGAAGACTGCAATCATGAACAAAGTATTATTTTTTTAGGTTCGTTCAGATGTGTTTGTTAATTGCCAAACACTGTTTCCAGTTCAATCAGAAATTATTACCCTCCTTAATTACAAGCAGACGGGAATAGTGTCCCACTTCTTAAATGATATATAATATTCACGACTTCTCGCTCTAAAGCCAAAGCACAATACCATACACTGTTTCTCACACATTCTAACAATATTTATATCTAATACGCTTTGCGAACAAGTGCATGCATGTGTGTGTATGTTTAATGAACATAAACATTCACTACGTATAGACATTTTATTGAGCCTTCCGATTAATTATAAATTATGACTATTGTATATCTAAAAACGTAATAACAAACTATCAATTGCGCAGAATGGAACTTTTAACAACTACGTATTTCTATCCGTGTACGGTAATGTATTTCACGCATTTATCTATAGGAAACGGTTTTGTCTGTGTGGGTTTTGTATGCTTACAGTATTCTACATTTAAAGCCCCTCTTTGTGTGATATTTTTCATAGTGTGTGTAAATTGCGTATCAGTAGTGTGCTGTAATGGATGTATTAAGTTAGTGTTTATATTTTGCAAGTGTACGAGTGTAGTTTAGCGTTCACAATGAAAGTACTCGCCAGTTGCACGGATTTGGGTCACAGCTCCAACTTTGATTACAAAGATTACGAGCACCGTGTGAATCACCGAACATCTTCTGAGGCCTAATGTCCTAGTTTATATTAATAAGTGAACAGAGAAATGATAAAAGGTTTTTTTGCTTCGATTGTAAAAATATTAAAAGAAAAACACTTGGCGTGAATTAAAGTAAATTATTTATAGTTTAATAAATTCTTTATTTGTATATCTTTGTAACTTTAAGGATACTTATAATGTAATAAGTACGAAAATAATAGATTGTAAGGCTCATAATTTGAAGCAATTTTTGAAGAATGTGTGCCAGCAACCAGGCATTTTTTGAAAGAGTATACTTACTCACCGCAACGAATAAACAGGAGAAGGGGGGCTGTCTCTGGGATTTCGGTTCGGTATGTCCTGATCTTGAATCAAAAGAAAATTTCGTATACTATTGTAATTTTATTAAAGTGTTTAATTTTTACATCATTGTATATTTGATGTAATATAAATTGTAGAAGATTAGTAGTACAAAAACATAATGAATTCGGCAATAAAATGCGAGACTATATTCTCTTTCACGTCATATGACATGATTCATTTCGTAAATAGCATAGCGGAGCTGCTTGACCGGACTCTTTATTATAACAAATTTAATCTTTATATCACTGACTCCATCTGGAGCGTTCACGTTATATAATTTAAATGTGAATATGAAAGTGCGAAAAGTAGGTAGATCTTTAGATGATATCGCTGTTTTATCTACGTAGGTTTTATTTAAAGTTTATTTAAATTATTCATTTTATTTAGTATTGCAATCTGGAAAGCTTCAATGAAGCTTCATCAGTCCTGTTTAAAGTAGTAACGCCATATTCTAGCTCTAAGTAGCTCGGTTCGGTCACAGATCTTAGTATTTTTTATACAACTGGTAACAAATAGGAAAGAATATAATAGAATAAAATAATTTACGTTTTATACAAATTACAAAAATAATTATTGAAAGTGATTTATGCTTTTGCGGTTTGAAAAAAAAAAACTTTTTTTAAGCGAATCCCAGTAAGAATTTTTTAATTTTTTCAAGAGATTAATTTAAAACTAAAAATTTTGTATAGTTTAAATATGAAAACAACACGACATAAGACAAATAACGGCAGCGTGGTGGCGACCACCTCTTACTCAGAGGTTTTTATCAAACTTTAGCATAATTACCTTACCAGCGTTATTCAAAACCTAGGTCACAGGTAGCAGTGACGCTTATAACCACTAAACCTACGAGGCCGTCGACAAGACTGACTCCATGACATTAATATGAATAGGTATGTTGTGTTCCCATGAATCCAAAATTATCGACCGTACTGCAATAGCTTCCGGCCGTAAATTGCAATTTACACATTACAGTGGGAATCGTTTGGTAGTGGATAGTGGTAGAAACTAAGCAAATACGTTTTTTTTATTTTTCACTTATTTAATTGAAAAAAAAAAACAATTGCCTTTCAATCGTTACTGATGTTCATTTACACAATACTATAAAAAATTAAACCAAAGGTCAAATATCAAAACGAAGCCAATTACGTTTCCTACTTTCCAACTGTCGCTGTAAAATTTAACTTCAAATAACTAAAACAATAACATAATTTTACATTGTGAAGTTGCTGCTAAGACATTATTTATTTATTTCCACCAACAATATGCAAGAAGAGAGCAACAAAGAATATGTGCTTACACCTGTTACAATACTATTAATAAGTGGAAGACTGGTACCTAAACTAAGTAAAACCTGGATCTTGGGTCACCAGGTCCCCACCTATAGATCTCCGTGGACGAAGTAGATAGGTGAAGCTACAATAAATTATTTCCTTCGTAATTGAACAACTATACGCGATACACTTATATTCCAGTTAAAAAGTAAAAAAATAAAATAAATAGACAGAAAACAATGTCGCATGAAATAGCAAACATAAACAACAGTTAAATAATTGGTAGATATCATAATACATAACTTTTTAATGTTTAAGATGCACATTTTTTACGTGGTAGAGCCACGCTGCAGCTATATTAGTACTACATATATTTGTAGCACGAATATGTCGGCTCGACCGGGGAAGCTCCACGCTCTCACTGAATACCGGCGTAAAATAGCAGATTAACGCTGCTGTGTTTCGTATGGTGATTGTAAAGAACTGGAGAGCCTTTTTACTGGAAAGGAGGTATTCCATATTAGCAGCCCTCAGGGGTGACAATGCATCTGCATTTTGATTCGTAATCGAGGATAGATCTAGATGTCCATGGGCTACAGCATCCACTTACCATTAGGTGGACTGTGTGCTCGTTTGTCACGGTTATCATATAAAAAATACTGTAAAGATGAATTAAAAACGCCTGGCAATAGTGAAAAATATTGTAGCTATCCTCACTACGAGGAAATCTAAAGGTAATTTTACTGGTAGATTTTTGACAGGTTTTAACTGACGACAAAATACTCGATATATCAATATTAGGTGGTATATATGATATACATCTATCGTTGTCTCCAATTGGGCGAAGCACGTATCATTCTAATGAAAAATTGAAGTAACACCCCAAAGTTATGAGAACTACATTAGATACAGAACGATATATAGTGCATAATCCCGACGCTTCACAACGTTATCTCCATGGAACTCAAGTATTATCAGCTGTGAATTTTTTCTTATGTATTATCATTAATTGACAAATTAAGCTTTAACCTCTCAACTTTGTATATTCCGAAATCATTTCCTCAAGTGAAGCAAATCTGCGCAATAACACGTGTAAGCTTACATAACAGGCCCTTGTTATCAATATGGCCCTGGACAATCCGCGACCTTCGCACATTCTACTAATGTTAGACTTTGTTGTACAAGCAAATATCGAAATGGATTTGTGTAAACAATTTCAAATGTACGTCTGAGCGTAAATATATTACCTAACAGAGATGTCATTCAAAGCAAAATAGTTCTGGAAAATGGAATTTTTTAATACGAAATTTTATTCACGTTTCTTTGGGCATTTAATTTAAATTTAATTTTAATAAATGTCCGTAACTTCTTGCTTCTATAAATTTTACAATATTAATGATGTATTTTATAATATTAATAGATATGTATAAGATAAGTAGGACAGGATAAAGTAGGATAAGCAGGAATAATAAAAAAGTTATTTGCACGGATTTTTAAGCGCTTTAATTTATTTATTTTAGTAACCTTTCTTTAATAGTAAATATTAAATTTTTAAGCTATTGCATAGCTTCTATCGCGGGCCTTGAGCGCGGGGTTCGAATCCAGAAATTCCGTAACGAAAAAAAACGCTCCCCACTCCGACGGGCACGGAGGTGTGGCGTTGAAAGCCGTGCATCGTCTAACGTCGTTGCAGTTCGGCAGACTTCGGCACTCGGCAGAGTTCGGCACGGTGTTTGTGTGCGTGCGACTAGACGTATGCGTGTACACTAGCTGCTAACTCAATGATAAAAATTCCTGAATAACCTACATGTATTGTAAGATATTAAAAATATTTTAAACAATATTAATTTCTCATTTATTCAAAATTAAGAGAAAAAAAATTGTTTTCTTATCGGTCACCACGCTCAAAAAGTGTCACTTGATTTAATATCAAAGACTTAACTGCATAAATAAAATAAATAAATAATTATAATTGCATAAGTTGATAAAAAATGCTATGCAATAGCTTTACCGCGGCAGTCACCGAGTGCCACACGTATTTTTTTTTTGTAGCGGTCACAAAATTCGTTAATCAACATATAGATTTAGTTTTATTCCATGTGTAGGATTTGCGTAATAAATATCTTTGTATAGAATTACTTATATAGAACAAAAATTTTTTTTCTACACAAATGATAGATTTAAAAATAAGCAAAATTAATTAAAATCTGTTGTATCGATTCTCTTAAAAACGATAAACTGAAATATAAATAATATATAAATCGTGGGGAGTCTTGCGCAAGAATAACGCAGGTAACGCACGTGTTCTCGAACTCTACATAACTCTACATACATACATGTGCATCGTGTGACAAGCGAATAGGGAGCCTTGTATTTGCATAAATAACATATTTATCTTTTAGCTTTTATTTTAAATGCATATGTATATCCAGTTTGTAAATACTAAATAGTTTGATTAAAGTATTAAATTAATATCCGCGTAGTGGCGGTTGAGAATATCCACTACCCCATATCTTCCCGTGGGTGTCGTAAGAGGCGACAGAGGGACACAGAAAGGAGATGGGCAGCAGCATCTTCCTAATAACAACAATAACATAATAAAAAACTGCGGTTGCCAACCCGCTCGCCAAGCGTGGCAACTATGGCAAATATCCCCCCATGATGTAACGGCGGGGCAGGGGGTGCTAAGAATCTCCGGTGGAGGTTCGGTTGCCATTTACGACGACTCGACCTGGCAACGTATAACGCACGCACCCTGAGGACTGACGAGAAGATACTGGAGCTGGAAGAAGAGGTAGACAAGTTGCGCTGGCATATTATTGGATTATCTGAGGTCCGAAGAGAGGGGGAGGACACGGTAATCTTCGAGTCCGGCAACTTGTTCTATCACCGGGAGGACGCCCATCAGTCCCAAGGAGGTATCGGATTTATCGTCCACAAGTCTCAGATTAGATTAAGATTGGGAGTGTGTCGACGAGGGTCGCGTACCTGATATTCAGAATCACCAAACGGTATTCGCTGAAGGTCATACAGGTCTACGCACCAACCTCGGCACATCCCGATGAGAAGGTGGAGGAAATGTATGAGGATATTTCTAGAGCCATGCATTCCTCTAAAACCCACTACACGGTGTTGATGGGAGACTTCAACGCAAAACTAGGCACAAGAGAAGGCGGTGAGCTGAAGTTAGGGAAATTTGGAGTAGGGCAACGGAACCGTAGGGGCCAGCAGCTGGCTGACTTTATGGAGAAAGAGGGACTCTTTATGATGAACTCGGCCCCACAGGAAGTGGATCTGGTCAAGCCCCGACGGTTTGACAAAAAATGAGATTGACTTCATTATGACGATCAGACGCCAACTGTTCAGTGATGTCTCAGTGATCGCAAGGGTGAAAACCGGCAGCGATCACCGAATGGTTAGAGGCATTCTGAACCTAAACGTTAAGTTGGAGAGGTCTCGTCTAATGAAGTCAACGCTCCGTCCCCCCTCGTGCTCTGATCCAGAATCCCGAGACTTTTCAGCTCAAGTTACGTAACCGCTTTCGGTGCCTAGAAAATTGCAATGCAGTGGACGATATGAATGACAAGCTCGTGGAAACTGTCCATGCGGTCGGAGCTAAGTTCTGCAAGTCCCGCCGCAGAAGAACACAAAAACTCTCCGATCACACTCTTAATATCATGGCTGTTAGACGGGAGATGAGGCTGCAATCGTCAACAGATTTGACAGCATACAGGCAACTGAACAGACAGATCTCCAAATGCATGCGGCAAGACTTACGCAACTTTAATACTGCTCGTATTAAAGAAGCGATCGAGCGGAACCAGGGCTCCAAAGTCTTTGCCAGAGATCTGTCTGCGAGAAAGAGCCAACTGTCAAATCTGAAGACTGAGTGTGGCAGCATCGTTTCCGGGACACCTGAGATTTTGAGTGAGATTGAGAGGTTCTATGGGCAGCTGTACACATCATCGTTGGAGCCACACGCAAGTGTGAGTAACGATACAAGAGCAAGTCTTACCCGACACTATTCCGATGATATCCCGGACGTCAGTCTGAGCGAGATTAGAATGGCTCTCCAGCACCTTAAAAACGGCAGGGCCCCAGGCGAGGTTGGAATTAAAGCGGAGCTTCTGAAAGCGGGTGGAACACCTGTACTTGAAGTCTTTCTGAAGCTCTTCAATTCCGTCCTCCATGTTGTCACTACTCCGGAGGCTTGGAGCAGAAGTGCGGTGGTCTTGTTCTTTAAGAAAGGCGACAACGCTCTCTTGAAGAACTACAGACCGATTTCCCTTCTGAGCCGCGTCTACGTGCTGTTTTCGAGAGTCATTACGAATCGTCTCGCACGCAGACTCGACGACTTCCAGCCTCCCGAACAAGCCGGTTTCCGAAAAGGCTTCAGTACCATAGACCACATACATACCCTGCCGCAGATTGTACAGAAGACCGAGGAGTACAATCTGCCACTTTGCCTGGCGTATGTGGACTATGAGAAAGCCTTTGATTCCGTCGAAATTTGGGCGGTGCTACAGTCCCTTCAGCGGTGCCAAGTTGACTGTCGGTATATCGAGGTGCTGAAGTGTTTGTACAGTAGGGCTACGATGGCTATCCGAGTACAGAACCAGAGTTCGAAACCTATCTAACAGCAGAGAGGTGTAAGACAGGGTGACGTTATATCCCCGAAACTCTTCACCGCTGCGTTGGAAGACGTTTTCAAGCTACTGGACTGGAAAGGATACGGTATTAACATCAATGGCGAGTACATCACTCACCTTCGATTTGCCGACGATATAGTCCTTATGGAAGAATCGCTGGAGGACCTTAGCACTATGCTCAGTGACCTCAATGGTGTCTCCCAACGGATAGATCTTAAGATGAACATAGACAAAACAAAGATTATGTTCAATGTCCATGTCACACCTACGCCGGTAGTTGTGGGGAGCACTATGCTCGAAGTAGTTGACGAGTACGTTTACCTGGGACAAATAGACCGAGTAGGTAAGTCCAACTTCGACCGAGAGGTCGATCGACGGATTCAACTCGGCTGGGCAGCGTTCGGGAAATTACGACACATCTTCTCGTCAGGTATACCTCAATCTCTGAAAACTAAAGTATGCAACCAGTGCGTATTGCCAGTGATGACTTACGGATCAGAGACGTGGTCCTTCACTGCTGGCCGTATGAGGACGCTTAAGGTCGCTCAGCGAGCTATGGAGAGGGCTATGCTCGGAGTTTCTCTGCGTGATAGACTCAGAAATCAGGATATCCGCAGTAAAACCAGAGTGACCGACATAGCCCAACGGATTAGTAAGCTGAAGTGGCAATGGGCCGGCCATATAGCTCGAATAACCGATAACCGATGGGGAAGAAAGGCTCTCGAGTGGCAGCCTCGTACCGGTAGGCGTAGTGTAGGGCGACCCCCCACTAGATGGAATGACGACCTGGTAAGACATGCAGGAAGTCGATGGATGCAGGTGGCTCAGGACCGTGCTTTTTGGCGTTACTTGGGGAGGTCTATGTTCAGCAGTGGACTTGTGAAGGGCTGTAATGATGATGATGATGATTAAATTAATAAAAATTAAAAAAATTACTACTTGAGAAAAGATTCAACACGTTTTAAAATAATGATTTTTGTGATTGATTATTTGTAAAGTGCTGATTATAAAAGTAAGATTGCTATACTGTATATTTTTTGTATATAATTTAACGAAGGTAATAGTCTCGTTATTTAATATTTATATTTAAATTTCTACACAAACCTAAAAAGGTAAACAAAAAAGACTATGTGTTAAATTTTAAAATCAGAACGCATGACCTCGTATTTATAAAAATGTCACAATCAAAGAATCAGGGTGCACGGCTAAGGGTCCATTTTTTTAGATCAACCTACCTGGCCCTATTGTATTATGGGGAAAGTTATGTGAAAGACCGCGGAACAGAAAAAAACTCGATTTCTCCCTACTCTCTATGCGTTTTTTTCCATCGATCCTTAAGAATTTCGATTTATATCTGATGATAGTTTTTGTGTGAACACGTTTTCAACCGAATACAAAGATGGGACAAAAAATTGGCATATTATTTAATGTAGATTGCAGGTTACGCGTGTCTGTCGAAAAAATATGCATTGTGTTCCTTATTCTGTTAAAGTATTCTGTATAAAGT